CTCTCTCTCTCTCTCTCTCTCTCTCTCTCCAGATTATTCTAACGATTATATTATTTAACGAACAATTACAATATTATTCTCAATTTGCATGGCAGTCTAAGTCATCTAGTACGAAGGATCACTACGAGAACGAGCTCGTCGCACGTTTCGTAATTATTTTTCGTTTTCCCTCCCCCTTCTAAGTAGCCATATTAGCCCTTTCTGATTACTTATTTAAATACTTCGTAGTTTAGTTTCGCTACCGTTACGACCGATGCCTTTAGTTTTATGATGATGAAACTCGTTTATTGATGATTTAGGACCTAAGAGATAATAATAATAATAACTTGTTCTCAACAGGGAGCAGGACACAGTGAGAAGCGAAGACAGCGTGCTCGTACAAAGTGTAGATTTAGGTTCCGGACAGGAAGCATGGCGATCGTTAAGTTGCCTTACGGACAGCACGGAGCAAAGTGCTCCTGTGAATTTTGATTTATCAAACAGGGTAAGTCCGTTGCGAATCAGACGGTGTGGAAAAATGGCCGTGCGAATCTCTACGTTGTACGCGTTCTTCAGGCAAAACTACCCCGAGGCATTGACAAAATTCGACCGCACATAGAGTTGATAGACAATGTACCTCTTTTGGTGTCTCTGTTCACTGACTGCAACACCACTGTCACGAGGGAAATGTTGCACATCATGCAAGATTACGGAGAGGTTGTTTGCGTGCTTGGTTCGTCAGCCAACGCGGAGAACATGCCCATCTTCATGCAAGCGGACGCAGGGTAAATACGTTGCCACGCTAAAGTAAAAAATAATATAATAAAATATATTACACGTATATATACAATGTCATTCAATTCACAGGACAGTAGTCTCTCTACGTATGCAACGACCAGGAACTTGATAACTCGTATTGTAAACTGTGTCTTTCTCCATTTGAGCATTTATAATTGGCCGATGGCACGCGCGAACCCTTTTCGAAACAGGCTCTACGTATTGATACGACAATCGATTCGTGGTCTGATAGTCGGTCTTGAACTTAGTTTGCCAAAATTCTCGCTTTCGCGGTCTTTCAACTGCACGCGTGCCAAAATCTTGATAAGATCCTTTCGTCACCGTGTTATAATCCACCGGCATTGGATGTTGAATCTTTCCTTGCTGCGGCTTATAAGACGTCGTCTTCACGTGTCCAGGATCCGAGTAAGACAGCTCGAAAGTAGTCGCCATGTCGTGCGAACCGTTCATAGTTAAACACGATTTCGGTACGAAAGCTCTGCGTAATTTCCCGGCTGACGCTTGATACGAAAGTTTATATACCGTGTCGAAATCGAACTTCCCGGTGGTGTCAGGCACTGTCTTCTCGTGTGTCCCATAATGAAATTTTGGCTTCGAAGCACGATCGAATTTCACGTATGACGAGCCATACGTGGTCTCCGACTCGATCTTTAGGGTTGGCTTCTCGTAAGGTCTAGCGTACACCACGAGACGTGCTTTCGGTGGTTGCAAATATGTGGAATTCTCATCTTGGCACGTAGAATTATTCGGATACTTTAAAATTTCGGACGCCCGTCGAGGAACGTCGGCAATAAACGCCATTTTTCGATAAAAATTTAACTTTCGTTTAAAATCGGCATAAAGAAAGTAGCAAATATCTATCGTACGTTCAATTGTTTGATACAACATGTATTCGCATCAAATGACGATCGAAGTAATATTATATATGTACATGTGTGTGTATGTGTGTGTTTATGGTTTTTAGAGTGGCTATGGAACCGCTCTATCCACAAGTTTGTCAAAGGGTTCCGGTATTGATCCCAACCAGAGAAGATCAAGGTCCATCCCCAGTCGATTTGAGCAGAGCACTGAATTCTGTTGCCTGTTCGTTAAGCGTTAAACGAGAAGATCCAATTGCGATATTCCATTTAATTATGGAGGCAAGTGAACTAGTTACTACCTAGCTATCACGTTCTTTGCAATCATTTCCGACATCGAGACATAAAAACTCTCAAGACTCTCGATAGAATGTGATTACTATTAAATATCTTTATACAATCTCAATTACATTTCGAAGTATTTTTACTGTAATTATTTACACATCATTCCTTGCATATTTAGGCTCGGCATTATATGACATGCCTCTGGAATTGCGTGCAATTCTGGCTCTGTTGTACCGTTACTCTTTCCTTCACTCAAGCTCTGTCTGGTTTCTTGCTGCTGCCACCACTGTTCTCAGTTAATCAAGTCTTATGGTTGTGCTGCTTAATCATTCCAATGTTGTCTATATCCATGATCGCAACGCCTATGGATCCTACTATAATGCAACGTGCAACTGGCAAAAATCAGTGCACTGTAAACGGTCAGGTAAGGAAGTAACTAATTCGCTGATTCTATTTTTTTTTTTTTTTTTCTATCGAATTTAAAACGAACACTCCTCTATTGATTTTCCAGATTGCATTGTTCGTTTTATGGTGTTACGGCAGCAAATTCTTGCCAACGGTCATAACGATAGTACTGTTGCAATGTATCTCGTTTCTGACTTTGTGCCCCACTTACACAACGGACTCCAAGTGCCTGTATGTGTACCCGGACGTACAGGGAAATGTCTCATGGGGTGGCTGGGGAAACAAACCAAATATTATTCTAGTGATACAACATTTTGCCTTGTCACTGTTAGTTTTACATTTAGGTAAAGTTTGTCAGTTTCAAATACCTTTCAAAAACTTGCGTGCCTCGAATGCTTTGAATTCCATTCAAAATTCTATTAAACATTTTCTCTTCTTGTACAGTAACGATATCCGTAGGCTTTGTACATAGAGAGTATTCCATTTGGAAGAAACAGCCATTTAATAATTACGTATGGTTCTTCAGTGCATTTATAGCGTGAGTGTATAAAAATCCATGATTAACAAGAAGCCGTACAAGAAATTTAATTCTTGTGTTCAATTCGAGTTGCGTTCCTTTCAGATTATGCGCACAAGCAGCATTTTCAGGTACTGTGTTCTGTAAATTTTGGAAAGACAAGGAGCAAAGTATCGAGAACTTTCCCCTGCACCTGCCTCTGTTCTTCTTATTTTCGTTGCCGTTGATTTTCGCAATTAACGAACTGATCAAATGGCAAGAGATCAAGTAAGTACAGAAAATACACTTCGGAAGGTGTGTTTTCATAACTTTCTAACATTCTCAGGGTGAACGTGAGATATCAGAAGAGGGCGCGGCTTGAATTTGGTACGAAACTTGGAATGAATTCACCGTTTTAGAGTATTTTTATTTTAAACAGGAGATGAAAAGGGCAAAACATTGCCAGATCACGGCGAAACACGAATAAATACGGATTGCAAGTCAAAAGAAAACTAAAAATTTCGCATAATATCGTCATTCTGTGTTACACTGTGTTTCCTGAAAAATCGAGATTTCATCTTGGACATTGATTCTAAAATGCACTGAACGATCTATTCGGAAATGCAACTTACAAGTATGATGTTACGATTTAAAAGTATAAATTTATTCGGATAACTGTACAATTCACCGAAAGAAGTGTTTGAAATTTGAAGTTGAACAATATCGCTGGCTATTTTGCAATCCAGCAGTGTTAGTATTTCAAAATGCGTAGTTTTGAAATGTGTACAGTTGTTTTCGTAATATTCGATAACTATCAAAGTATTTATATTTTTATATAACACGAAACGATAACGATATTTTGTATTTTAGAAATGAACGCGTTGCAAGGTAACATTCGCCGTTTCAAATTTTTATGCGATTATGGCTCTCGAAATTGCAAATATCCCGACACACGATCTTATCTTCG